CCCCAAAACCCCAAAACCCCAAAACCCCTTAAGGCAATATATAAGCAAGCTAAGGTGAATTAAAATATAAATATAAAACTTTAAAACAATTATTTCTATTTTGATGGAAGCTAGTATAAATCAGAAAAAGGATTCAATTAATTATGAGAATTTGCTAAATTAACTTCTGAACCTTGAAGATTTTCATGAAAAGTGATAACAAGTACTGAAAAGAATGCCAATTAAAAGAAATAGATCATTTTGTAAGACTATAAAATAAAATGAATAATATAGGTTGCTTTTCCAATAAAAAAAGCAGAGCATCAAAAACTCCTGAGGAAATTTATAATAATGATTCAAGCTTTTCACATATTATAAGTCAGCAGTAGTTTGATCCAATAAATTATAGAGCAATATCTTAGATTATATTTGAGACTGAAAGAGAAATAGATATGAGGACTGTCATTCATATCTATCAATAACTAACTTAATCATAACAAATTGTAAGTAACATTATCACAAATATTATTTAGTCCTTCAATAATACTGACAAATAGGAACATATAGACTGGGAAGTAATTGGGTTTTAAAATAAAGAAAATATTAAGAGTGATTTTAGGGCTGTGGGTCTGCTTGGATTGCTAAACCTGTTATATTTTATGGGCTAGGACTTGGCCAAAGTAAGGCAAATCTATGAATTGTCCACAGATAAAGTTCAAAACTATCCTTTTATGCTGGCTTGCTTCAACATCACGAACCTAACTTTGAGGCTTTTAAATAATGATAAAATCACTAGTTAATTGATAAACTTGCATGAGGAAAAAAATGCTTTTGTTGCTGTAAGATTAAATTAAATATCAATCACATATTATAGCTATAAGAGTATTACATTGCTCTATTGAAAAGGTTCGATGAGAGATGGCGAAACGAGAAACTTAAAATAAATGACTTCAATGTTACATTAGATTAAATTGAGATAGAGAGTAAAAAGGATATAGTTAAGTTTATTCAGAAGAACGGATAAACCTAGAGTTCAATTAATGGTATGAAAAATATGAATAACTCTAAAAAATAGAAAGGTGGCAAAGGTTTAAATCAGACTGATTTTAGTAATATATGATAATCTATTGAAATATTATTGTCCTGTTAATATTAGATTTTTCAATTTTATATTTGACTCTTAGCAATAAATGAGTATTATTGAAATGCTTTATGGGGTTTTGGGGTTTTGGGG